GGAGTATGATGAAGAAAGATATTAAAGGTGATAAAATTGTGGCACATTTCCCGACATTCATCTGAAAAGAAGCGTACAGCTTATTAAAAATTTGGCATATCCAGAAAAACCTATCTCACTTCCTTATGCAACTCTTAAGGAGCTATTATTAAATCATGTGAAATGCACCAGTTTTGAATGCCGTGAAAGGGCAAAATTTCATAAGATGGTTCGTCAAAATGACCAAACGGTTAGGGAATTCATCCTTGAATTGCAGAAACAAGCTGCCAAATGTAATTTCCGTGATCAACTTCATGTGCAACTGAAAGATCGAATACATGAAGGACTTAACATACCGGATCTGGAAAGAGAGCTGTTAAGAATGCCTAGCTATTCCTTTCAAGATGCTAGAACTGCGTGTATTAACTAAGAGGCAGTGAATAAACTTGATATCCAGTCGATGAAGATTTCTAATACTTTGCTTAGTCGTCGTGATGAACTACACGCGCGCTTTTCGAACGGGAAGTTTAGTCCTAACGTGATTTGCATATATCAAACTTTTGCTGTGTTCTTACACAACAAAAGTACCATTTCAGTTCTAAAGAATCTATCCTGAGTTATACGTTCGGTAGATTACTTTTTTTTGAGTTTCACTATATTTAATAGTTACCTGTGGTTTTGCCTCGGCTTACTATTCGGTTTTTTTTGTTTTTCACGTATAGACTAGTTTCAGTTTATATCACTCGTTTTGTCCATTTTTGTCCGTTTTCAGTGTACATTTTAGTGTTTTTTTTTAAAAAGGTCTTAAGCTTTTGTAAGCATCTATAACATAGTTTGCTTCAACACCGTCATGAAAAACTCATGCAAACGTCCGGGATGCCGTTTTGCTGTCACAACTGGCATGCAGTGCGACAACTGCAAGGGTTGGTTCCACGAAGCATGCACAAATCTGACAGCAACTGCTTACAACAGACTCAGCAAGTCAGACCAAAAGTGGGTATGTGTCACGTGCAACACGGACGCAGTAGTCTTGCTGAGTAACATCATTGTCCTACACGACAGTAAAAAAACCGATATACAAACAAGAGCGCGCAACGGACTCAAAAATAGGGATGTCGATAGGTATACCATCGATGGAGCATCCATCAACACTAATGACGACGTGTCGAGGCTCAGTACCATCATTACGTCGACGGTACTAGACTCCCTAGGCAAACTCGGGTCTCCCAGCTCAGGGTCCCTGAACACAACAGTGGTTCCCAAAAACCCTGCAGGTGATTCGACCCACGTTAAGAGAGCCCAAAAGAACCAGGCATCACCGCCTAAGCCGAGCAACCCAAGTGTTGCTGCACGGAAAATAACTGGTGATTTAGTCGCACAGTCTACCCCCAAGACTGTTCGTCCGGTCAATAAAGAGCCCAAGACTCATAAACGCACACTGACCTCCAAACAACAAGTTATTAAACGTGAACCCATCATGAAACCTGGTAAATTAACAACAGTTCGTGACGATTCTCTCATTATCATGAACCTAGTCGACAATCCTGACCTTCCTCTCAGTCTGCAGGATAAAAACGACAGGATGCTGTGGGGTGAATTGAACAAGAAGCTCGAACTTCCTAGAATAGAGCCTTTGACGGTCACCCGGCTCACTCGAGGAAAGGATTCTAAGCATCTAAATCACCCGAGGCTTCTCCGAGTAACACTTAAGGATGCTACCGACGTAGAGGACGTCTTGCTAGCAAGTCACTTACTGAAATCAGATGGTAACGCAAGAATATTGCCCGACATACCGTACTCTGAGCGCAATATCATACGAAACGTCCCTAAAGAATCTCGCGAGAAGTTCTTCCGCGGAAGAAACATAATTGTCCAAGGTATACCGGAAAATGCAGACCCTACTCAATCAAATTCTGACATCAGGGAATGGAAATTCATCAAACAGTCCTTGAGGCTCAAACACATACTGACTCAGCATGTGACGAGACTAGCCAAGAAGGACGGTGATCTTAGACCCCGTCTAATGAAGATAACCTTCCCATCTTCCCACATGGCGGCTGCAGTTCTGGAAGCATTTCGTGCTAATAGACGTCGATTGCCACCTGGAATCCACATGCACCCGGATAGGCCATATGAAGTTAGGACCAAGAACCAAGGCAAGTTGGAGCTGACCATTCCACTTGTGGACTGTCTAAACGATACAAAAACGTGTAAAGGACAGGGCCTACCACCTCGGCAAACCTCACATAGGTGGGCTACCTGTCATTCACATAAGGTTCATACAGAAAAACAGGACGAAGCTCACACGTTCCAAATTGAAAGCATAAACTGCTTATATATGAACGCCGCGAGTCTACCAAACAAACTGGATGAACTACGTGAACTTAGCAACGCTAATAAGGCCCATCTGATAGGAATATCTGAAACCTGGATATCTTCTCAGTTCTCGGACCAAGAGTTAGCATTACCTGGGATGACTTTGTTCCGCAACGACAGGAAAACAGGAATTGGGGGCGGAGTAGCCATATACATAAGCTCTTGCTTGGAGGTGCACCAGGTTCACAACCTCGAGTTTAACAATCTTGAGGAATCCATATGGTGCTCTGTAAGGTTGTCTAGTACTTCCAGGTGTCTAGTCGGAGTCATTTACAGGAAGCCAACTGCCGACACCGAGTACGATAGTCGTATGCTGGAAGGACCATCCCGCTCTATCCGTCTCGGTTTCACACACATCCTGATTCTAGGGGACTTTAATCTCCCTAGAGTCAACTTCGCGGAACACACGTATACTGGAGGCGACAACTCAACTGAAGCTCGGTTCTTCAACCTCATCGATAACTTGGGCTTATATGAAAATGTGAGGTCGGCAACTCGTTGGAGAAACAGTCAGACACCATCGCGCTTAGACTGTGTATTCACTAACGAAGAATTCCTAGTCGACAACCTCTCAATCCTGGCTCCTCTGGGAAAAAGCGATCATGCCGTCATAGCCTTCAGTTTTGTCATCAAAACTAAGCTAAGGTATCCCAACAATAATTTGCATTGGAATTTTAAACGGCTGAATGTGCCAGCTCTACATGACCATCTACAACAGGTGGTTTGGGATGTTCACCCTCAAATCGATGTGGATGGTCATTGGGACTTCTTACTGCACACGCTCGTATGTGCTACAAACCATTCAGTTCCTCTAACGGTTCCCAAAAGCTGCAAGCCACCTACAGTAATCAAGAACCCTGACCTTCGCCTGCTAAGCCGCAAACGGCACTGTTGGGCGGAATACAAACGAACTAATAACGATGGAGCGTATAGGCAATACAAACATATCAGGAACACATGCACGAAGGCTATAAGAGAAGACAGGCTTCAGTACCAAACAAAGCTTATGGACAAATTCGCCTCTAACCCTAGAAGCCTATTCCGTTATGCAGCCTCACTTCGTCAAGCCAAAACAGGAGTTTCTCAACTGCTAGGTCTTAACGGTCCGACCAACAACGATGACGACGCCGCTAACCTTCTGGCGGCCCATTACTCTCAAACATTTCAACCGGCTGACATCAACTTTATTGACGACAGTTTCATCTGCAATTTCACAGGACTTTCTGAAGTGGACCTAAGCGCTGACTTGGTGTTCCGGAAACTGCAGCACTTAAGACTTGACACTTCTCCTGGCCCGGATATGGTTCATCCTGCCATACTGAGGGAGGCAGCCTCAATCCTGGCAACGCCGCTTAGCGTGAAGTTTTCACACTCGCTTAGCCGCTTAGCTTTTGATAAGGTTAACCACTTGTGTCTTATCAACAAGCTCAAACGACTAGGTATCAAACCACCTCTAATCGACTGGCTTACTTCATACCTAAAAAATCGACACTTTAAGGTTAGGGTTAATTTCACTTTATCTCAAGCTATGGAATGTCCTAGTGGGGTCCCCCAGGGCTCAGTACTAGGGCCTCTTCTCTTCTTGATCTACATAAATGATCTTCCTCAACAGGTAACGTCAGACTTATTACTTTTTGCCGACGACGTGAAACTTTGGAGAGAGATACGCAACCAAGACGATATGCAGGCACTTCAAGATGATCTGACTCGACTTCAAAGTTGGGCAGACGATAACGGACTTACCTTTAACACTTCAAAGTGTAAAGTAGTCCATCTGCGACATGTCGCAAACTACAGCTACAACTTAGGAAACTCCTCTCTAGTAGTATCCCAAGTCGAAAAAGATTTAGGAGTCCTGATGCCCTATGAGTTGAAGTCCTACGCTAACTGTGACAAAAATGCCTTCCGAGCAAACCTTGCACTGGTAACGTTGAGGCGCATTTTTGGCCAGTTTGACGGAAGAACTTTCCACACAATCTTCAATAGTTTCATCCGTCCCCATTTAGAGTACGGAAACATAGTACTCCCCCCTCACTCCAAAAGGACAAGGTCACTTTGGAGCGTATCCAACGGCGAGCCACGAAATCAGTTCGAGGACTCAAATCTAAGCCTTACGAAGAACGCCTCCGTTCACTAGACCTTTACCCACTAGAATATAGGCGTCTTAGAGGTGATTTATTAATGGCTTATAGTATTCTTAACACTTCTGGACATCCTCTTAAACACCTACTTAAGCTTAGTTCGAATAATAACCTAAGGGGTAACACCCAGAGACTGGAAACACAACATAGCAAGACGGAATGTAGACACAACTTCTACTCCTTAAGAGTTGTCAAAAGCTGGAACTCGCTGCCGGCCGAGCTAGTCCAAGCGACTTCTCAGGAGTCCTTCAAGAGGCAACTTGACCTATTCTTAAGGACCAAGGACAGCATCACATTATGATTTACCAATTTCTTTTCCTCTTTTACTGTTAACATACCTAGGTTCCTGCCTGGAGGATTTGGTGATCCCCTGCTACTAGACACGGAAGCCTGTTAAGCGAAAGCTTCTTCTATTCCGTCCACAACCATTTGAACCATTTTGAACACTCTCAGGGTCAATCAAACTTGCGTTCATTTAACAGTGATTCCTATTCTCGTGTAAATATGAAAGGTGTTTCAACAAGGAATTACAAAGCAAATCACAAAGGTGAGATGAAGTTTAGTAAATGTTTATCATGTGGAAAGTTTTATTCTCGTAATTCATGTGCATTTCGTAATGCTAAATGTTTTAAATGAAGTAAGATAGTACACATTCAGTCAGTATGCAAAGCTACTGTCCATTTTGCTTCGAGCTGTACTAAATCTTGTAATTTAAGTTTCAATAATTCGGATGTTTCTAGTGATCATTTATCTTTGTCTACTATTTCGAAAGGTAATGCTCATATTCGAAAGCGATTATACACATCGCTTGGTTCATTTCATGACTTTATTGTGGACACACGCAATAAAGAGTCCATTATTTCATTCAAGAACTTGAAATCTTTAGATCTCAACGTTGTGGTACGACCCATTGATGTATCAATATTAGGGATTACTGGATACAGACTGCTCATACGAGGATGTTGTGAATTGCTAATAAGAGATGATAATTCTGCATAAATACCTTGTAAAACAGGACTGTCAATACTGAACTTAAGGAATTTGAAAAGGCTTAAAGTGGATATGTCTTTCCTAGTTTCTAAGGAAAATTTTGATGCTTCACTTAAAGATTTGATGGCAACGTGTGTGCAGTAGAGGTATGAAAATTCAGTCTATAAAACTTCAAGTACAGGATGATCTAATCTTTCTTAAAGGACGAATAATTCCTTATGGTCTTCGAGAACCAGTACATAAGACTTTAAACAATTTGTGTGTGAAAGGCATAAGTGAACTGATTCAGTCTTCAGCATGGGGTACTCCTATCGTTATGCCACTGAAGTCGGACGGCAAGACCCCTAGAATTTGCGGTGACTATAGATTAATTCTGAACTCCCGTTTGTTGGAGCGAACGTGCATGACGGTAGAGGTTGAAGATATTTTAAATCTACTTCATGATTCTAAACTGTTCTCGAAAGTTGACCTAAAAGATACTTACCTTCAAATCCCTTTAGATCAATCTTCATCTATTTTGACGACAATTAACATTCTTTTTGGTCTGTTCAAATACAATTTCCTTCCATTTGGTCTAAGTTGTTCTCCAGCCATATTTCAGGAAGTTATGAATAAAGTAGTTTGTGATCTTGAAGGCGTTAGTTTATCAGGATAATCTCACTGTTCATGGTTCTGGTAAGGTAGTTCATTACAAGAGACTTATTGCTTTATTGAGTCGTTTAATTGAGAGGAATATTACAGTGGATCCAAATAAGTGTTCATTTTGTTATCTAGTTTTGAATATTTTGGATACCTAGTTGATGGTAATGGTTTTAGACCAGATATGAAACGACTAGCTCCACTGACTAATGCACCGTCCGAAAAATCATACAGAATTACGTTCACTAGTGGGTGCTCTTCAATACTATTCCCGTTTTATTCCCAATTTTTCTTGTCGTGTAAATTGTTTATTTAATATTTTAACATCCAATTCATTCAAATGGAGTGAGGAACAAGAGTCATGCTTACGAAGTCTGCTGAAGTTTCTTCAAAGTGATGCTGTTCTTCGAACGTACTCCCCTAATGTACATTCTGTGCTAATTACTGATGCATCACCTGTGGGAATTGGTGCAGTTTTGGAACAGGAAGGTAGACCAGTTATTTGTGTTTCACGCAAACTTACTGTTACTGAACAAGGTTATTCACAGACTCAGCGAGAAGCATTAGCTGTGTCTTGGGCTGTTAAAAGGCTTCATAAATATTTATTCAGAAGGAAATTCACTATTGTTACCGATCATGAAGCTTTAAACTTTATTTATCGTCCTGAAAAATCCTTAACATTTTCCTCAGCTGCTATGGTTCAACGATAGAGTATTGCTTTGAGTGCATATGACTATACGGTTCAGCACAGAAGTACCAAACAAATTCAACACGTTGATTACATTTATCGTCAGTCATTACAAGATAGACCTGTTAATACCTCAGACTGTTTGTTAGTATAACCTTTACCAGTGAGACGTCCAGATCTCATTAGAGAAACCCGTAGATATTTTGGATGTATACTCAGTGCTATACGGAAAGGCTGGAATGTTAATTTGAAACGTAGATTTCCTGTCTATTTTTCAGAGCGGTATGAGCTATCCACTACTCTTGCTGGTATTCTGTGTTTAAATGATCGTGTTGTCATTCCTCCTTCACTGCGTAAATCTGTTCTTGAAGATCATCATAGTGGTCATTTAGGTGTTGAGAAAATGAAGTCCTTAGCAAGGCTCACGTGTTGGTGGCCAGAGATAAATGCAGATATATGTCGTACGGCAAACAATTGTGAAAAATGTCATCAGTTGAAAAATCATCCTTCGAAGTGGACGCCATGGACAGTATCGTCTGAGGCGTGGCAGAGAATTCATGCTGACTATTGTGGTCCGTTTCTTGGCGAATACTATGCACTAGTAGTTATTGATTCTTCTTCAAAGTGGCCTGAAATTTTTTTCACAACTTCACCAAGTTCTGATTTCACAATCCAAGCATTAAGAAAGGTATTTAGTCGATAAGCGGTTCCTATGGTGTTAGTGACCGATAATGGCTCTCATTTTGCTGCAGATGCAGTCACTACGTGGTTGAATGGTATAGGGTGCCAACATCTGTTTACTGCTCCCAGACATCCTTGTTCTAACGGTCAGGCAGAAAATTTTGTCAGGACATTAATGACTGCTATTGATTCTATAGCCGGCTCAACATTTAATGAGCTGGAGAGGAAAGCTGATACCTTTCTATTGCAATATAGAAATGCCAGACATTCGGTGACGAAAGAGACTCCATCGAAGCTATTGAAAGGAATAATTCAAATATGAGATGTTTGGAGTCTGCAGAAGTTACATATTATCGAGGAAATGATCTTCGACTATCTACGGGGATTGTTCTGAAGAATGTCGGGAAATCGATGGTGCGGATTCTAGATATCAATTACTTAAGTACACACAGCCGACATGTTGATCAAATACAATTTCAGGAACCAGGTGGGTCACTTTCAATTTCGATTGTTAATTCTAATTCTAATGAGCACATTCTAAATAATACAGAACCCTTATCCAATACAATGTCAGGATGAATTTGAGAAGAAGACGTACAATTGATTACAGACGCCTAGACTCCAATTTAAGCTATGGAGGATGTGATGTTTGAATGAACTTGTAACAGCTTAGGTTGGTTGGTTAAGAGTTGACCCCAAACAACCAAGCATATGCCAAAACAGTATTGTTCAAGTATTCATTCACTTCCTTATTTTGTATAAGCGTTATATTCCCTATTATCTTATATTGAATATTGAGAGCCTTTGTTTGTCTGAACAGATAATCCCACGCTCCACTGTGACTGCGCAAAGATCGAAACAAAGACCTATTCACTACTCCTCTGGTTTCTTCTATCAATAGCACGAGAGTTACCTTAAGGCACGAAAAACTAATGATACCCTTGTACCTGATGAATGCTTGATTTCGAATTCTAAATACAGTACATTCGTTTGTGCTTATCTAGTACTTCTTGAATCGATTATGTTATTACTGGGATTCTTAGTTCATACTATAATTCAAATATTTATAAATACCACAACCGGCTAATCCTCAATTAACACTACAACCATTTATAATGGTTTCTGGATTTCATCATAAATCATTGTGGTGACTTGACAATCACGTAATATGACTGATAATATTGATGAAACTGTAAACAAAATCGGTCAACAAACTAACTTGTTGCTATCACTAAATAGTGTTTTTTTTCATTATCTTCATCCATTACAAATGATTACAGTGTGTTTCTCTGTCGGTTGCTCATGCAGTAAATATCTTAAAAACTTGTCAGTCTAACTGCAAGTTTGGCGATTAAACAGTAAGGAAGGGCATTCTCAGTTCATCCATAGTGGAAGATATTTAGCCGATGATTCCAGTTCGAAACTATGACAATGGTTAATCTGAACTATAGCCGAAAATTCTAACGAAAAGAGACGAACAAATGCCACTAATTCAGTTTCAGTGAGAATGGATTGATGATAATATTTACATCGCTCCTACTCAGTTGACAATTCCCCTCTGTCGTTTTAAACAACGAACCAAAGAACAATAACATCGGGTACTGGAGACACTACCATCAGATGAAAACAAAAGAGACGACTGCCACATGCTTTTCACGTGTGAGGACCTAGAGGTAACTGTGTTATTTTTACGATTCAATGATTCCAGTGTTTATCTTCAAAAAAGTTTATAACCTGCTAAAGGATCTGACTTATCTAGAGAAACCAATTTCATTTTCAAACAAATCTTCCAAGGAGTTAATACTTAGTCATGTGCGGTTTGCTAGCTTTGAATGCAGAGAGAGATCGAAATTTCATGAAATGATAAGACAAAATGATCGGAATATTAAGGACTTTACACTAGAATTACAGAAACAGGCTGCGACGTGCAATTCGGGAGGTCTGTTGGACACTCAACTTGTTGGTCGTTTGACTGCTGAAATGAATATTCTGAATTTAGGGAATTAATACAGAAGCCCTGAAATTCATTCCTAGGAATGAAAACGGCATTTAGTAACTGTGAGGCAGCACACGAGCTTGATTTTCGGTCGTTCTGATGAACTGCACTCTCGATGTCACTCAAGCTCGATTGTATTGAGTCACATCCCCGTAGAAATATGAAAAATGATTCAAAGAAAAATTGCAAAGAATGTAACGGGGGTGAGCACAAGTTTGGTAAATGTTTATCCTGTGGTAAATTTCACTCACGCAATTTATGTGCATTTCGTCATGCTAAATGCTTTAAGTATGATAAAATTGGAAACATCTAGTCTATTTGTAAATCTATTGTTCGTTTCGTCGAAAGTAATACCAAATTTTGTAATTTAGATCTCATTAATTTGGGTGATTCTAATTGGCATATGCTATCCTTGTTTACAACATCGAGTAATTCACTTGATATTTAGAGACGACTTTATCTGTCTAGTGGTGCTTTTCACGATTTTGATGTTGACACTGACAGTATCGCGTTCATCATTTAGGTTGGTAAGTTTAAGTCGTTAAATCTTGATGTTATAGTCAAGCCTTACAAGGTTTCTAATTCTAGTATTACAGGCCACTGTAGTGGCATTGGACCATAACCACACAATCTTCAAAGCTGAACACAACACTACTCAGAAAGTAGATATTCAATATTTAACACGGAGAAATACCTAACAATGGAGAAGGCGCGAACAATGAATTAAATTAATTGGAATTGATCGAATGGCGTGGCTCGGCCATGCGGGCGTGGTCCCTGCTGAATATTACCTTATATCTTTTATTCATAATAAATATATTGTTCTTTCTCTAGCCTAAGCTTGTTCTTCATCAGGTATTGGTAGTTGTTACGATACAGTGAGTTGGTGTAGACGATGATGTGACTTCCACGTAAGATCTTATAGATTAGGCAGTTATATCATGACAAATCTACAATTTTAGGATTAGGTCTATTATTAGAGCAGTACTAATATCATAGTAGACCATAGTTCTACACCACAAACATTCTATCCTTGGATATTGTAATTTGTTAATCAGAGATGATGAACCTTCAATCATAAATTGTGAATTCTTCATTACTGATTGTGAGCCATCTATCATGGGTCCAAAAAATTCAAGAATGCTCCAGGGACAGATTTCATAACTAGACAAAACATACAGACTAGGAAGTTTGTGTTCTCAAATGGCCTTATGATGAAGATCTTACTAAGATGGAGATGGCAGAAATTTTCAAAGCCAACTTCGCGGCCCAAGTGAACCGGGAACCTACAAGTACAGAACATTCCTCAACTCCAGTGCCAACTGATGGCCAGGTTGATATCTGACAAACTCCCAGGTTAGTACTAGGAAAGACTAAAGTCCTTGCTCCCATGAAGGGACAGTATCGGACATATAATTCTGGAACAGTGTATAGAAGCCATTAGTACAACGGTATGCGACCTGTTCAAGCACTTTCCAGAATCACACCGGGTGAATGGAAACAGGCTACTCTCTCCGATCTTCATAGAAGGAGATAAAAGAGACTCAGCCTCCTACAGATCAGTAGCATTACTCCCAGTACTGTTGAGGGTGCTGGAAGGACTGAACAATGACCAAGTGGTCGAGTACATGAATAAAAAACAGCGTCCCCCATAAAATCCAACACAGGTTTAGAGGAAGCAGGTCATGTAGGTCCAGTCTCTCGTAGTGAAGTTCAACCATGTTTGATGTGAGGCAGTTACCCACCGAAGATAATGGAAGATGGCTGAGTAACATCTTAAAATTGGTTGGAGTTAGGTATTAACAATGTTGGATCGTGGCTCAGTGGTCTGGAGGTTAAGCGTCCGTGCGTGGGATCGTGAATGTGCACTGCTCACCAGTCCCATACTGAAACAGAACGGTTGTCAAGTGCTCCCAGGTTTTCAGTGGTGCTCCAACATTGATTGGTTCAAAATCTCAATAGATAAGAATTATAGTTAACTAGTCTCTATAGATATGTCATATGGGAGGATTGCCTCGATATTAAAATTTGATTAGTTTCAGCAAAATTCATTTGTAGCTACACAACTTAAGATAAGTATTTCGTCCTGACAAAAAAGGGAGAATAAAAACTAAATAACATCATGCCAGTTGACCAAGTTGATTACCTGATGTCAGTATACCAGTGAATATTGCGTAAGAGTATGTGATGAAAGGTAATGGAACCGAGTTGCAATGTAAAAAACAACACTAGGTTACACATACCTCAACCAACGGGTCTTATATACAACAAAACATGTATCCAGAGTTTCACTGCTAGCCACAGTCCAGTTCTGGTAACATGTGGAATAACTGAGATGAAAAAGTCTCACTTCGAATTGTAGAATAAACAGCTAAGAAAATAACTCGCAATGGTTTAGTACGCTATACAGTTCATTACCTGATTACAAAAAATACAATCTACTGTTAAACTGAGTCGAACAAGCAGTATTTTGAACACAAACCATACAACATATCAAGCCTGTCTATCGTGTGATGAACAGATAGAGAGGTGGTTTAATAGCTAAGACATTGAACTACAAGATGGCACAATTCAATTTGCATCAACTTAGACATCTAGGTACTTGTATCAATAGCCCCCGCATAAATAGTGAAATACAGAGCCGATTACACGAGCCAATATTTGGTAGGTCGATTGGAACGATTACTGATTGGCGAAAAAATAGGACTTTATTCTAATCATATATTTTCATACATGATCATGATAATTTGACCAGTTAAATTTCATAACTATTTGTTCGATACTAAATCTGAAAATAGAGTTTATCAATATCACAGCGGTTGAACGTGAATGAATTGTATCTAAATCCTATACGTTGTTTACACAAAATGTAGATGTACATATCTACACATACAAAGAAAAAAGTTAATCGAATTTTTACAAAAACGAATAACATGGACAACTTCAATTGATTTTTTGGTAAAAGCATAGTATATGGATAAGCCAATCAGGACCAAGGATGCGACCACCAGACATTTGTCTGAAATTCAGATATTCCGTACAAAGAGCAGTAGAAATACCTTTGTTACTACTTAGAACATCTTAAATAGTTACGAGTTACTTTATTTTACCATAGAGTAAAAACAATAACGTTTAATTTAACAGTTGTTCAATTCTGTCTCTGTAGATTACGAATAACAGACAAAAGAAAATTCAATTTGGTGGTACTATATTTTATTGAACTAATCAAACAATGCTTCTCGCATTTTTGCACGAAATTCATTTATCCATATGGCTACAATGTATTATGGTTGTAATAAAAGCCGTAAGTCTACACCTCCTGACCGAGAACAGTATGAGGCCTCTTTAAAATCTATTTGGATCCTTAGAGTTTGAAGAGAATAATCTTTGTCGATAAAGACAAATTTATATGACGTTCCTTTAATTTTTAGGTAATTTATTCTGTATATGTAAGTAGATCCACAAAATGTGTAAAGTCAATTTATCCTATGTGATATTATTGTTTTTCTCTTCATAAATTACTCATTTGCAAAAGCTGTTTTGTGATGGACTAAGAGTTAGTTGAAAATTTTTGGCAACTGTTTTAAGCTCGTTTTGTACATACTAACCCGTTTCTTTTTACCACGATGTATTATTTCAAACAAAAAACAATCGACGAGAAGATATGAAATAAAGAAGGTGGGTGAGGGGGACAAGTACGAAAGCATAAAGTAAAACAGAATGTACACTTTTTCATATTTCGTAATGTTACTGTAATTTTTAGGTGAAACTGATAAATATTAGGTTTCTTTATTGGATTGTGCGTAACTCTGTATGTTGAAAATAATTGGTGTGATTTTATATAGAAAAGAAAAAAATGATATGGATAGCAAAACACAAACACCAATTGCTTAAGTTGATGAATTCAAGTTTATATATGGGTATACGTGTGTACGTATACAGAGATACATATAGTTACACGTATAATAGATGTTTTAATTGTAAGCAGGCTAACTGTTTTGTTGAGTTTTGCGCTCACGGATAAAAAGTAGTTTAATAAAAACAAACTTCTCTAAGAAGGAAAATACACAAATTTCTTTTGCAAACGAACTAGATAACGTTTTTCTCTAAAAAAAGAAGACATACTTGATGCTGAGCCGTTGCTAATGGTGAATAACAATAGAACATTTTTTAGATATGGTAAACGATAACTGGTACTGCTATAAATGGATCATGGTCAGTGGTATTAATAACTTCAAAGTTGTTTAACTACTTTGAACGGTCATTAAAAAATAGTGAGGTGGAAAATTATCACAACAATAGAAAAGATCTAGTTGTGCAATATTTTACTCATGTTTTTATGTATAATCGCATAGTTTGGTGTTGATGAGGAGGAATAAAAATATGACGAATCATATGCATGCATATTATGAAGGATGTATTGTATGGATTGATATTGGAACAGAAAATGTTGATATTCCCTGACATTCTATAAATGTGTCTTTGTAAAGATTTGTTTTAAGAGTGGTCAATCTAAATTGAACAAGCACCCATATTATGTATTTATATGGAGAAGAAAAACAAATGAAAGACTCATAACAACAATTTTTCTTTTCACATGCTTAAACAAAAATGCTGCTGACGTGTTATGAATGACACATGGATTATTTAACATAAATCATAATTTAGAAACAAACAATAAAATGAATCAACAAGTGAAAAAAATCATTTGAATGAACTTGTGTGCATATGTGCGAAAATTGTTCATGGAAATGTAAACATTACACACAGAAAACTAAAGTATTCTATAGGTATGCAATCTGAGTATAATGTTAGAAGTGAATAGGGAATAAAAAGGGAAATATCCTGAAGTATTTACATTCATACTCATTGAAACACCTAAAAACACCGAAATGCATGTTTATATATGCACACAAAGAGAGAGAACCAAGCTAAAATGAATGAATATCCAGTTTTAAGGTAATTGGTGCCACGAAATTAAATTGAAACATTTTCGAAAAAGTGATCAATGTCTAGTGAATTGCTATTTATTTGTTTATTTTAACGAAGCTCATTATTTTCGTTTTTTTCTTTTAATAAACAATTAACTACTGAAGATAAATACATGAAAATAGGTAAGAGATAAAGAAATTAGGAAAGACCGGGATAACCGCCAAATGTATTGATATTTTTAAACATTGGTAGATTGAATAATTTGATTTTAGATAGAATGAAACCGGACAACTAAACACAAACAAACGGATTCCTGTATAGATTTCATAAGAAAGTCTGGTGACGAAAACTTACCACACTAGTAAAGGAATAAATCTTTCTTGTTATTTTTCACAAGTATTTTGTTGTTTTGATGTATGTTGACTTATTGTTTCCTCTTCTTCAAAAAAATAAAATGATTAGTCAATTGACTGACTAGTTGTAGTAGAATTAGAAAAGCTGAGCTCTATGTTTTAAGTCATTACGTTTCCATTCTGGAAGACGATAAAATGCTGTTCGAGATAAAGCGAAAACCTGTTGAAATTCTTCATCGGATAAATGTGTCTGAAAAGTGACAACAATAGTGATGTTAATAACAAAGACTAATTAAAAGCGTGTGGTGGTGAAAGGGGGAAAAACAAAATTGATGTGTGGCCAGTGAAAGTTTAATTAACTTCTAAGTGTGAAAAAACAGGCACTCAGGTTACACTGACTACTAAATATGTGATTTTCTTTTCTGTTATATTGATTTATTCTCTGGGTTCATTAGATGTGGAATGCTTGTAATTGTGTGGAATAAAGTATTACTCTGGTTCTCTAACTTTGGTTGTGAATCGTGTATTTGATGTAACGTGGTTTAGTCTGTTGCATAGCGTATCGTTTAAGTATCCAATCTAGCGTTAATGTACTCTGGGTAACCAGGTTTATCATCGTATTAACGAAGTATACCAGACAGAAAACAAGTTTAATTTTTCCATTATATCAAAAACGTATAAAAAAGATTACTCTAGTGTGATTTATTCATCAGTATTATTACCGATCAGTCAGTCAGTCAGTAACGACGTAGAACTTCATACGTATGTACATCAGTTCGAGTTGCCACACCACATTAGCACAGAGATGCGGTGGTCGATTCAAATCACGTGGTGGTAGAGGTAATAAGAGTATGAGTGTTTGGAGATGTTACTTAAAGAGTATAATACAGTGAAATAAATTTGGAAAGATGAAAAAACGGACATGGAGAATTCAGAAGATTAGAATTTGAGAGAACACAAAATGTGGACGCACCTGCGCCATTGCAAACGATTTCAAGCAATGTCATTCAGGGTCTCTAATTATCGGTTGCTATCATCTCGTGGTCCCCAACCAGGTAGTCTACACCTACCAACATGCCTCAGTTCACTTGTCAGTGACTTCATGGACTTGTGCCATGTTTTGCTTTGGCCGCCCCTAGCTTTCTTCTAAACCACTCCTATACCACTTAACATAGCACGTTGAGGTAGTCGGTCGTTGGGCATACGTAACACGTGTCCCAGCCATCTCAACTGATGAAGTTTCACTACGTCATCAATTGATTTGCCATCCTTATCTAGTACACGTTACCTAACAACTGCATTATTTACTCGATGGTCCCATGATATACGAGCAATGTTTCGAAGACACCTATGATCGAATACTAGTAACCTACGAATATCCTCTACTCTTACCGGTCACGTTTCACTGCTATAAAGTAGGACGGAACGAACTGCTGCTCAGTGAACACGTCCTTTGGTTAGCAGACGGATATCTCGCCTACGCCATAAATGACGCAAGTTGGTAAAAGCTAGTCGAGCCTTCTGTATCTGTGCTGAGATTTCGTCATACACCAGACCACAAGGGCTGATGAGACTTCCAAGATAAGTGAAGCGGTCGACACGCTCAATTACTTTACTCCCTATCACTAGTTCGGGTGTCGATGTAACCCAATCCTGAAGCAACATTTTGCATTTCGAGGGAGAGAATCGCATGCCGAACATGCTTGCATTGTTGCTTAGAGTGGTCAGAAGACTCTGCATTTTGTCAGCGTCTTCGCCAAATAAAACTATGTCATCGACATATTCTAAGTCAACAAGTGAACCTCCCGGTAGAATTTCAACCCCTGGAAATCTAGACGAGGGAAGTGATATCTCTAAAAGTACGTCAACGACAAAGTTGAACAAGAATGGGGAGAGTGAACAGCCCTGACGAACACCACTTGAGGTAATCAATTCTGGTGACAGTTCGCCATAAGCTCTCACTCTACCAGTTGTGTTCGAGTAGAGAGCCTTTATAAGGTTAATGTACTTCTTTGGTACTCCTTTCAGTGACAAACACTGCCATAGAACCTCACGATCTACAGAGTCGAATGCCGCCTTAAGATCGAGAAATACTACCATTGTGGGGCGTCTGAATGTGTGTCTGTGTACTAGAACCTGACGTAGTGTGAATATCTGATCTATACAACCACGTCCAGGTCGAAAACCGGCCTGGTTTTCTCTAATCTGCTCTTCACGAGCTTTGATTAGGCGTCGAAGTACTATTGAAGCTAATATTTTAGACACTATATTAGTCAAACTGATTCCTCTGTGATTGTCACAAGAGGACTTTTGTCCTTTCTTATAGACTGGCACAATCAGTTATTGAGACGAGTCAGATGGGATTACGCTTAGTTTACCTACTTGAGCATTAAAGTCACCGGCTACTATTACTACATCAGAGCGCCTAGCTTTTCGGAGAAGGTCCGAAAGCTTTCTGTAAAACTCATCTTTTACATCATCTGCACGTACTCGAATCGTTTGCCCTAGCGGTGCGAGGTGATAAAGAGACGTGAGGAGGGTTAGTCATGGAGATAAGAGAGGCATTAGGAGGTGTAGGAAGGATTTGAATGTGACCAACTTGGTCTCGTGTGCTGTTACGGGTATGAGGTCTAATATCACTTCCCGGTTGCCCACACAGTGGAAGGGTATTTCTTGAGGAACCTGAAAAGGAAATGGGATTAGTGTTGGTCTTAAAGATCTGAGAGCGTGATCGCAGAGCCCAACGGACAACTGCTTGAGGCCGGTCGCGCACGGCTTTTTCGTGGAAGGTTTTTAATGTGTTAGCTCCGTTCTTCAAAGGGCCTTACCGCCGGAGACGGAAATCCGCGAGGTAAGGTGAGGTGTGACATTTTTAGGGTCGACCTTAGCTAACCCCACCCCTTCTTGTGGGAAGGCCGCAGATGCTGGTTGTTCGAGGGAAACACCTTATTGCTGTCACACCCCTCTACAGTCAGCAGTACGACTTCGCCCTCAGACCTTGGGTTGCTGCTTTTAGTCTTACCGTTCTCCAATCGACCTGCCTGGCATGGTAGAACCTACAGGAACATATGTTCCAGCCAATATAGCTCGATTGGGTCATCACGATAGGCAAGCCCGACCACCGCGTCAACGTAGCAGCTTCGGTCGGGATTAATACCGATAATCATCAGATGTACAGTCGACGAAGTTAGGCTGAACAAATTAATTTAATATTAGTCAAATATATGATATAACTCCGCCTGTAGCTCTTCTAGAGTTACTGCCGGTCCCATGCCCGGGTAAAGGAGGAGGGTTGGGTATGGGGTTAGCGACCCCATCCCGTAGAAAAACAACTCGCCAAAAAAAACGCTAACCAGAAAAAAATTCAAACCATTTAAACTCTGCCCTGAAAATTAGAAGGTCTTCATTCAGAAGAATTATGACGCTTCATGATGAAAGCCGAGTTCCTTCGGAAGCCACAAGGCCGATGCCCCTTCTAACAACCAGATCAACAATTTTTATAGGTACATGGAACGTCCGAACAATGTGGGAGACCGGGAAGACCAGTCAAATGGCAACGGAAATGAGGAGGTACAACTTGGCAGTACTGGGAATCAACGAAACCCATTGGACACAAGCTGGACAACAAAGGCTAAATACGGGAGAGATGCTGCTATACTCCGGCCACGAAGAGGAAAATGCTCCACACACTCAGGGAGTTGTTCTAACGCTGTCCAAAGTAGCACGAAATGCACTTGTAGGATGGGAATCTCACGGATCCAGAATCATCAAAGCATCATTCAAAACAAAGAAGGAGAGGATCACAATGAATATTATCCAATGTTATGCACCCACCAATGATAGCAACGACGACATTAAAGATCAATTCTACGAGCGGCTGCAGTCAATCATAGAGAAATGTTCAAGAAAGGACCTCACCATTCTGATGGGAGATCTAAATGCCAAGGTCGGAATAGAAAACACTGGATATGAAGATATTATGGGACGACATGGACTGGGAGAGAGGAACGAAAATGGAGAAAGATTTGCAAATTTGTGTGCATTCAACAAATTAGTCATAGGAGGCACAATATTTCCACACAAACGTATACACAAGGCTACATGGATCTCACCGGACCACACTACAGAGAACCAGATAGACCATATTTGCATCAACAAAAAATTCCGAAGGACAATGGAAGATGTGAGAACCAGGAGAGGAGCTGACGTAGCTTCAGGTCACCACCTAGTTGTGGCCAATTTAAAACTGAAGCTAAAGAAAAACTGGACAAGTGGACAAACAGCACTACAAAGGTTCAATACAGCCTTCCTTCGAGATACTGACAAACTCAATGAATTCAAGATAGCTCACAACAACAGGTTCCAAGCCTTATAGGATCTACTGAAGGAAGAAGAAACTACTATGGAGGACAAATGGAAAGGTATCAAAGAAGCATTAACTTCAACGTGTCAAGAGGCTCTGGGCCTAAAGAAGCACCGCCATAAGGAATGGATCTCTTTAGAAACACTGGACAAAATCAAAGAAAGGAAGAACAAGAAGACAGCAATTAACAACAGCCGAACACAAGCAGAGAAAGTCCAAGCACAAGCTGAATACATAGAAGCAAACAAGCAAGTGAAGAAGAGCATCAAAGCCGACAAGCAGAAATACGTGGAAGAACTAGCAACGACAGCGGAAAAAGCTGCAAGAGAAGGAAATATGAAACAGCGTTAAGATACAACGAGGAAACTAGCAGGGAAATATAGCAAACCAGAGAGACCGGTTAAAGACAAAGAAGGCAAGCCAATCACTGAAATTCAACAACAGCTAAACAGATGGGTAGAATACTTCGAGGAACTCCTGAATAGGTCGGCTCCAACGAATCCACCGGACATCGAAGCTGCACACACAGATCTTCCTATAGATGTCAATCCACCAACGACCGAAGAAATCAGAATGGCAATCAGACAAATCAAGAGAGGGAAAGCAACAGGACTCGACAACATACCAACTGAAGCACTGAAGTCAGACATCGAAGTGAATACAAACATGCTTCACCTTCTATTCAAAAAGATTTGAGAGGAGGAACAAGTGCCGATGGACTGGAAAGAAGGACACCTCATCAAGATTCCAACGAAAGGAGATCTGAGCAAACGTGAAAACTACAGAGGCATGACACTACTGTCAGTAGCAGGAAAAGTCTTTAACATAATCTTGCTGAACCGGATGAAAAATGCAGTAGACACCCAACTTCGAGATCAACAAGCTGG